TTTGAAAGCACATTGTCCAATGTTTTTAAAGGGAAAGGATGAAAGTTGGTTTTTGGTATTAGGCGATATTCAGAACAAAGAATTGTGGGCTCTAAAAAGAGTATCTGGAATAAATAGTCAGCAAAGATATCACCAATTGCAGTTTACTGCACCTAATAGCTTGGGTAAATTGTTGGGTATATTTGTAATTCCATATTTTTTTTCTCGAATTTTTTAAAATAAAAAATTGACAATTTTTTTTTTCAGGAAAAACGAAACTAACATTCTACTTGATTTCTGATTGCTACATAGGATTGGATCAGCAATACGATATTTATTTAAACGTAACATGCTAAAAATTGAACAATAATCGAACACCTAAGACTGAACAAAACACGGGTGATATTGTGTTCAATTATTGCAAATCTTTTTATATTGATAATATAAGAGATAGAGCATGAAGAAAAAAAGTTAAAACTTTGTTAACATGTACATTGAAATGATGTCAGAAAAGTGAGCTGTAGGTATGTGCAAATATAATTAGGGCATATGTATCGCAAGTTGTGTATTTAGAAACACTTGTATATTTTTCCTTGCATATTTTTATTACACGTCTATGAAACAATATATAGGTATAGATTATACTCTACTTTTTTTTTCATACAAATATAAACCTTATTACCTCAGTATATAAAGATAGAAAAAGCAACATGTGCAGGATCAGTTGTACAATTCCATCTTCTTTTTTCTTTTTTTTTTTTTTTTGCGTTACGAACGAGCTACTTTACTGCGAAATGTAAATCAATTACTATATACTATATGTTTTAATTTATGTTCGAAATAGAATTCTGTATCATGGACCATATACAATTTTGAAAAGTAATATATTGTTTGATGCAGAAGTTTGCAAGTAATGTAGAAAAAAATAAATCCACATTATGAGTTTGAAGACTCATGCGTATACATTTCAGTTATATGTACTGACCCCATTTCTCAGACTCACATCATATTACAATAATACAATACATTATTCAATTTAATCTCCTATGCTTAGGTAACAATAGATTATAGAATAGGAAGGATATGAGATCATTCCATTGCTTTGTATAAAAAGAAAAAAAGAGAAGATAAATATATATTTTAAGTCATAACTCTTGTATTGATATACCGATATTACAATACAAATTGATACAAGTTGTTCATGCTAAGGGCACAAAAGAGACTTTACAAAATATTCACGAATTTATTAGTAATTTAACACAATTTAAGACTTTACAGTGAAATAAAATATGCAAGCAATCCTTATTTGATACATGACATAAACTTGGTTTGATTGAGAAAACTAAATTATTACTTTAAAAAATAACATTACTTTAATACTCTTTAATATATATATAAAAATCCAATAATAATATATCTATGCATAATCAATTTAAATTAATCCACAACCTAAAAAAAAAAATCATTTATTTTAAAAATTATACTATTTTGTATTATAGAGTGTGTCTAGACAGAAAATCATAAAACATATTATTTTTAAAGCATATGGATTATTTAAATTATAAATTTACATAAGAAATTAACAATTTTGATTTATCTCTAATTATAATTTTGTTTATAAATAACAACAATATCCTCTTTTGTGCCGATAGTTTGAAATTTTCTCTTTCAAATGCGTGCACATGAGAAACACATTTTATTACTATACATCTACCATATATGTAGCTGTCAATAACCAAAGCAAAGAAATATTTAAGCTCCTTCCTATATATTGAAATCTGGAAGTACTGAATATTTCTTGTAAGTAATAAACCGAAATGCATTTATACAAATGGTTTCGATAATGGTACACTTTCCATCTGTTACATATAACGCGAGAATTAACACTTGCCCCGACACCGGTTGTGTAATAGCCACATAATACAAATAATGTTACAAATTACAGCAGAATGTTAACTTCAGTGTTCCCTTATCTTCCTTCTGCATTACAAAATCTCTCAACATTCTGTGTGCCTCTAATCTTGTTGAATAATTTATAGAACCTTGTGTCATGCCAACCCACTTTAAGAAAATGTTTATATTCAGGCTGGTCAATGACCATATGCTCAAATTGTATATTTTTATCACTCAAGAACTAGGGAAGCACTAGCATAACTGACAGAACTATCATTCATATTGTTACATTGACTACTTTGAGCATATTTCAAAAATTTCAAATTCATTCTTTGACCATTTGTATTTCCCTTGAGACTATGAATGGCCTGCAAAAAAATACATATATATATATATATATGTACAATATTGTTTAGAAAAATTAAACATATTAGAATTTTTATATAGATGTCTGCATGTACAATGTTTGTACCTGCAATAAAACACCAATCGGATGACGGCCGCAAATAGTATTACCATATTTCTTAAGATATTCAGTGAACATTGCAGGATTCAAAGTTTCTATAATGTCCATACCCTGACAAACACATGCATGCATTTAATAAAGACACATGGAATAAAAAAAATCTTCAATATTCTTGAATTATAATAAAAAAAGGAATTGTGTCTGCTCCTCTCCTCCCCAAAAATATATTTAAAAATATTACCATTTTATCAAGGTTTTGAATAGATCTGTGTATAGGCCCACATGATCTATCGTAGTAAGTATAGCGAAAACGTTGTCCCCAATGGCAGAAATCAGAGGAGATGACAAATAATGTTTGCGGATCAGCCATATAGGGTGCTAACAGTCTCCCGTAAAGCGCTTCTCTATCAGGACTTAAGGATCCCACCAAAATTGGGATTATGGTAAATGAATCCTTAAATCTGTGTACACATATAAAATGTCCATATGAGTAGTATACTTATTTTTATTCATAATAAAATAAAAATATTGTATAACTCTCACTTACTCTGCGTTATTTCTCATCAATATAATTTTCCATATTCCGATTATATAATCGGGAATTAATTTATTTCTAAACGTACCCTTCCATAATTTTGGCGATGAACGGCAACTGCATCTCAATGCTATGCTCTTCTTCATCTGTGTTCAGATCCATGCATTCGAAATGACCGGTTTCTTCAAGTTCTCTTCTCACTGTTAAATATACACATGTTAACCTTTTTTAAGCAGTTATATAAGAAGCGTTTACACATAATGTGGTTAATATTTTTATATCTGTCACATGAGAGCTAAACATATATCTTGCTTTAATAAGCAACATTGATGCAGAAATAAAAATGAAATCTGCATATATGCACCTTGTTGATCAATATGTAGATCATATAACGGTGTTCGGTAAATGGAAGTCGAAGATAGGGCACAGCCTGGTAATCTCACATGATGAGAAGGCCCTAGAATAAATATCCTACGGCTGCATAACAGCACGTTGCACGTTTCATTTGACTGAGAAATTTGAAAAATTACAAACTATACAAATATAAAACTATACAACTATACAAATTACAAACTATATATTATAAGGGCTATATTATGGCCATATATTATGAAAATTTACATTAAAAATGCAGCATAATCAATTTCTTTATTGACCTACTGTAATTAATCTAAAGAAAATCTTCGATATTTTGCATAAAAAAAAACATTACTACAAAAATACTATATAAATAATAAAGACAATGTTATATTATAAGGCCACAAGGCTTAAATGTTTTTCCCATATATTTATAAACAGTAATAAATTGTTCGTAAATTACTAGAATAATTTAGTTAACATAATGTACTTACACAACTACAGGACTAATTTGCCGGTAAGCAAAACCAGCACATGCCCCGCAATAACTATACCCTGCATGCCTGCAAAAAATTAATTATATGATTATATTATATATATATATATACATTTGTATATTTGTACTAATATATGTATATATCTCGAGAAGTTTTAAAAATATATATTTTGTAAATGATTACTAACGGGGCGATGACTGCTCTCGCAGGTCCATGAGATAAGTCAGCTGCACCCAACCAACCTTCTAATTGTTTACTTAACTCTGGACCTATAGTAAGAGTTATAAGAGTTATAATTTTAATATTACATAAATATAACAGAAATTTTTGTTGTGAACACATACCAATACAAAGAAATCTTTAAACAAAGATGTATATATTTTTATGTGTATTGCATAGAACAAAATATATATATATATTTTTTTTTTTTTTGCAATATATGTGATATATCGCATTTCCATAGATTTTCATCAGATCCAATTTTAACTTCTTTGGATGACAAGTATATTCTATTATTAGTAATCTATTTTTATTTTGCATGATAAATTAATAAATTATTTAAAATTTCAGTCTGCAATATTAACATTTTTTGCAAATCTATCCATCGATATTTTATCAAATAAACAAAGTTATCGACGTGTACGAACAATAAGCGAAAAGTGAAATGCATTTTTCATAAGAGTTTCTTACCATTGTCCGAGTACCAACTACCAGCGTGAGAGGCTCGCCTAATTAATGCCATTTCTGGACCGAACGCGCTTGTCTTTTTCCTGGAGCGTGTCTTTTTCTTGGAGCTTAACGCTTAACGGCACTTCATCTAATGTGAATGAAACCTCGGCAAGATCAGGCGTGATAAAAGTGGCTTATATCTTAGCCCAGAGAGTGTAAAATGTTTATAAAACGCTATCACAAAACCTTGGCTATTGTCCTTCCATAGATTATTCAGTGAATATTCAAGTTGATCCGATACGCGTCGACTTGAAAACAAAGAAGTGCAACATGGCAGATTCGTAATCTCTCCTCGGATCGGGATTCGCGATGCGGATGTGCCTTTAATTCACGCTCGAGTTCAATTCACGTTCCGTTTGACATTACGGAAGCTTGGAAGTGTTTGATCGACCAATCGGAGCATAGAAGTTTTTGCCCCTTTCGTTTTGATTGGTCAATCAGACAAGACGAAACTTTGGTAGCGTTAAACGGAACGCACCTACGGTCCGAGAAAATACCCTAGACTCGCGCGACGAGGAGTCGCGCATCATTAGTCAAGTTCGAGACTGTTGCGTTTTCGCCGAGGCGACGACGTACTCGACGATATTTCTACGATGCGAGATACACGATCGAGGCGGAAATATCACTCGGAGATTTATTACGCGCGATGTCAGCCGCATACGAAATTCGTTGACCAATTCGATGCGCATCTCGGGTAGTTGGTTCGAATAGCGACGTAGAAATTGTTAATATGGCAGATGTTCGTGCCTCTAGTGTTGTTTAAGTTCGTGAAACTACGAGTGACAAAACAGTAGGTCCTGTTAACTGAAGGGCACTGTGATGTGTATGAAATCCTGATCGCCGCGTGCCCCGACGTCCACGTGCGTGTTCGCAGTTTAACGCGCGCGCGAGACAAAGTGACAGTTTTGGCCGTTTGTGTTCTCGGAATCGCGCGAAGACCCCTCGCCGAGAGTCCACCGAGACACCACCATCACCGCCACCGCCAGAACCTCGCGACCGAGAGAATCAACATCGACGACGATTTTCCTTTTCGCGTGTGTGTGTATTTTTTCTTTTTTTTTTTTTTCCCCCTTAACATTCATCTACTCTGTCCATTCGTCGCGAGCACGATGGGACTCGTCGCGTCGTGATACGCAGCTGGTGGCTATCTCGTCCCAGGTAGTATCGCGGCGCACCGCACTTTTTCCTTACGCTATTTTTTGACGTCTTACACGCCACTTTATAACCTTTTGTCCCTTTTGTGCTTATCTATCCGTTCCGATAGTGTCAACAATATCGTTGATCGGTCCGTGTTTACTTACTGCTACGCGCGACGATTCGCGCTTTTATTCGCGGACGGATCTTAGGTGGCTCTCTGTTACGGTTTTTGAGAGAAATGCGCGGAAAATAAGTACACCAAGTGCACTATTATCGTATATGCTATCTTTACAAGATAGAATTGGCGTTAATGAGAAACAAAACCTACATACATGTCTCTGATATCGAACTTATGAATCCTATGATCTTTTTTTAACATGTGCCATAAAAAACATGGGGCCCAATTAGATTTGGTATTGTTGAATGTGTGTCAAGATTTTAGATAAAAACTTTAGAATTTAGAGTCAGATTAGAATTTTCCGTTTTAGAGACTTTAGTGTGACTCTTGTTAAAGTATAAATTTCCACTTGACATAAAATAACATACATATGTAAAAGGCATTTGCTGTACTTATTACAGTTATAGTGAGTTTACAAGAATCTGTTTACAGCAGAACTGATATATATTTAATAGATAAATTGATATATATTCGAATTTTTTTTTATGAATTATATATGACCCTTGGAATTCTTTTCGTAGATATATATTTAATCTTGTTAGGTGTAGGAAGTATATATTTATATATAAAGTGTTATGCTTTTTGTAATAATATTGTTTGTTGTTATAGGTTTGTGCATTCTCATCTCTGTGCTGTTTTTTAATGTAACTATCACTGAGGGGCTGTAACAAGAAGTGGAGGTAAAATAATAATGTACATTTTGATAGCGGCTTAATTATCGATGAAAAATTAATTGCGATCCCTCTTGTTTCAGGTCACAAATTTTTGTCATGGATCATTGGCGATCCGATGAAATCAAAGTGTCTTTGAGTGTTGTATTAGAAAAAGAAAAGTGGATGTGCTAACCAAGTTTTACGAAACGAGAGTGATTGGTGGTGTGCCTGTTTTCGGGCAAAAACATTCTTATTAACTGTAGTGCCATTGGGCTATGGCCAATCTGAACTTTGAACAACCACCACGCAGTATTGCGAACGCAAGTCTCACTTCACGCGCAGCTGGCGGCGGGGGGGGTTTAAACGCATCGACCCTCGCGGGTCATGTCACGCCTACCTCGGGCATGTTCTCAGGTTCGTCTGCAAGCACCTCGAGTACAGCCAATTCAGCGGTAGTCGCCACTAACGTTTATCCCGGAGCATCGGGCTCTGGCGGCGGACAGAATAGCCACCAGCAACAGCAGCAACTCTCTCCTATGGGCAGTAGAGGACTGTTTGGGCAGAGAGCTTTTACCGATAGACGTACGATGCCTGCTCTTGGGTTAGTTCTCTTTTTCATTAACATAATCTTTGTTATGACATCTGCATCTGTTTTTGATATCACACCATTGTGAGTAAATTAGACTATAATCGAGCGTAATAATGTAAAGCCCATAGCTTTTTTCTTTTGTCCTTTTTTTTTCTCTTTTTTTTCTCTGCCATCATTTCCATCTATATTGCAGAGCTTCAAATCCGATGGGTAGTATGGGCAGTTTTGGAATACCTCCAAGTCGTAATTACGGATCTCAAGGTGCGGTTAACAATTTCCACTCTGTTTTTGGGAGTGGAGGTGGTGGAGATACAAATACTCCCCCTCTATTAGATCTCTCGGAGTTTCCCTCCCTAACAAATAGAGGTCAAGGTGATTCTATGCCGCAACCTAGTCCAATGCCAGGGAAACAGCCTTATGGTTAGTGCCAAGAAGAATGCAAAAATACAAGAGCAAATATATTTTCACTGTAAAACAATCATTTATATTACTTGGGTTGTTTATGTCAAAACCAGAATTTAATATTTAGGCAGGTAAAAAGACAAAATTATGACCAGTAAAGAACATTTTTCTTTTTTAATGTAATCTTCATTTACATCACAACATTTTTGCTATCCACGTACCAATTCTACCGGTATTAATGCATTGATACGTCGATGCAAAAATGCTGTGATGTAAATGCAGATTATGTTGAAAAATAAATGTTCTTTACTGGATATAATTTTGTCTTTTTACCTATCTAAAAATTAAATTCTGGTTTTGATGTAAACGATCCAAATACAATGCACCTGCTGGTTTGAGTATTAATCTTCTTTTCTTTTTTTCAAGCAGAAAGACTTTTATGTGATTTTATAAAAGCTTATTATATTTTATATTTTATCATGTGTGAAATTATATAACCACACTTGGTATTGAAATATTTAAATTTTAGAACAATAGAACGCGATTCATGTGTATATGCGGAATTTACATATGCTTAGCATAGATGTAAGCAGTTTATATTGCTAATGTAATTATTCAATGTAATTGTATGTTACAGTTGGGATGGTCAAGCAACCGACATCCGAATCGAGCGAATTTACTATGAGCTCGGAAGATTTTCCTGCATTACCAGGAACACAGAATCGAGAGGGCCCGTCACCTGGTGGCAGTGTGTCTGGTGATAAAAATATACCTGTAGGGCTGGGTCCGGAGATTGGACAGGACGTGCTGCAGGCCAACAGAGCTCCTGGATCTGAAAAATCTCAGTCTTCTAAAAGAGGCATTCAAACATCGCCTGATGGTAATTAAAGATTCGTTGGACCTACATCTTAAACGAAAGATTACTTAGCTACGTTTTGCATTAATGTTTAATCTTACAATTGTTGCATGCAGGCAAGGTGACAAACATACCCGCAAGTATGGTGAAGGATCAGTTCGGTATGGTTGGGCTTTTGACGTTTATTAGAGCGGCGGAGACGGATCCAAACCTAGTGTCACTGGCGTTAGGTCAAGATCTTACCGCGTTAGGATTGAATTTGAATTCGCCGGAAAATCTTTATCAGAACTTTGGTGGTCCCTGGGCGGAAACACCTTGTAGGCCACAAGATATAGATTTTCACGTACCACCGGAATATCTTATAAATGCCGCGATCAGGTATTGATTTGTTATTATATATATCGATATGCATTTTGATCCATTAATCCATATATTATTGTGCTGTCTGCATGATTATAATTAAAACATATAAATATTAAGTATCTATTAACTGCATATATCATAAAAATAATTGAGAAAATGCTGTTTTAGATTTAAATATATTAATAAAAAAAAAAATAGGTGGAAATATTATTATTGGTACTTGAAATATCAATACAAAATATGAAACAAAAGTAAAATGGATATAATATTGAAATTTGCATTGAAATAAATAATTATTTTACCAACAAAATTAAAGTTTACATATTGTTTCAGGGATAAGCTAGCACCAGTTAAACTAAATCGATATAAAGATGATCTACTGTTTTATATGTTTTATACAAATGTTGGGGATGTATTGCAATTAGCCGCGGCGGCAGAATTGTAAGTATAATTGATTTTCATACTCGAAAATATTTTCGTAAGCATATAATTCCATATTCATACAATTCCATATGTATGATACAAAGGTACAGCAGAGAATGGCGATATCATATGGAAGAAAAGGTTTGGATAACGCAGGCACCAGGTTTGGGAATTGTAGAAAAGACGTCGACATATGAACGTGGTACTTATTATTATTTTGATGCGCAAAACTGGAGAAAGGTAGCTAAGGAATTCCATTTGGATTACACAAAACTAGAAAGTAGACCTCATCTTCCCGCGAACTTTCACCAAACTCAGCCTTGACTACAGGAATGATATCAACACCATGGCATTTTTTAATTGTCTCCCCATGTTCTATAATTATTCTGTAAAAAAAAAACAATAGAAAATTTTTTGAATTATAATCGAAATTTTATATTATTTGTTCTAGACTTGTCTGCAGACCATTGTGCTGTCTTTAAGCTGGAAACGAATCAGCTATTGTATAAATGAACAAATTTAATAATCTTTAATAAAAACATAAAATTTGAAGAGTAATAAAGAGAATTTTTTTATCAATAACTTAATCACCTCCACCTCACTACCAGTTATAATTCATTATCATCAGTGTTTATTACCTTACCACATCATTCGTTCGCTCCTAGACATGGTCGTAGACATTTATTATATTTCTTCATGATTCTTTCATATTATATCATAGCTTATATTGTAAGTAAGTCTTAATTTTTCCGCTTGTGTAGTGATATTAATTATACTTTCTGAAGCATTTATAACAAAATGTTCAATGTAATTCCGACTGTTTTTCTCACACTCTTCTAAGAAATATCTAGAGAGGAATGAAGTAATAATGAAATTATATAATACTTTTAATCTTTTTTAAAAACTAAAGTTAATCTTCAAATGTATACCTATAGTTAACCATTATGCCGCAACTATTTGCTACTCCACGTGGTGAAGGATCAGCCATCCAGTTTATTCGCCACATCACAGCTCCATTACGCAAATGAAAATTAGCTGCAAAACAAAACATACATTATTAAGAAAAAAATTATATTTTTTTTGCATACAATTGATCATTTACTATTCATAATACTTTTTATTTGAAAAATATGCATAATTTGTGTACTTATAATTGATTATGAAAGAAGAAAAAAGAGTAACATATAGAACATACCAACATTATTTAAAGCATAGCCACGTCGTTTTTCCTTATATAAATACCATGTGCATGCTCGAAGTAGTGGTTCTTTTAAAAATTCTGACAATTCTTTATCATTCGTCCATAATGAAGTGCTCAAGATCTTTTTCAAGGTCAATACTACGTCTTTTGTTTTTAAAATATTTTTTATAATTTCATATTCTTTCATAGTAAATATGAATGCTACATCTGTAGGACAAATATATTTATACATTATTTTTATTTTTTTAAATAGTTATTTACCTTGTTTTAATTTGTCGAATAACCAAGTTTTAAAGTTTGGTATTGGTGATAAACTCGACAATTGCTGCACAGCTGGAAATTCAGTTGTAATCTCACTAGCTACTTCTTTTATTAGATAATTACCGAGCTCAATGCCCTACATAAAAATACTCCTTTAGCTATATATAATTTTTTACTTATACAGTACAAAGTTATAATTTATATATGTATAACTTCTGTTAATTTGTGATATTCTAAACCAATTAAAACTTTTATTATAAGTCAACTACCTGCAATCCTTTTTGTGTAGATGCTATAGAATAAAATATTGCTGCTTTTATTTTCGATTTATCTTCCTCTAAAAATGTTATATGTTTTTTTGCATTTCCTAGGATTCTGGATTCAGCTTTCTCAATACCCTTCACAGTATCTATGAATTAAAGATATATAAAGATTACTCTTTCTCTCTAGCTCTGCTATTCTTTTCACCCTATAAAACAATTTATATTAAAAATCGGAAAACAAATTTCTTTATATTTAACCTGGAATAATGTCACATAATGCTGTATGCAATACAACAATGGGTTCTCTTGGCATAGATGGATGCGTAAACATGTAACATCTTCTATATGGGCCAACTCTGCGTTTCAAGTCCAACCAGTTTCTTATAGGATGTATAGCTTCATAATCAGAGACCTTTAAATTTGCAAATAAAGAATCAGAGATGTAAAAATTGAAAATGAACATTAATGAAGTAAATATAGAAGTTATTGTTACCTTTTGTAATATATCACATGCACTTTCCCAAGTTATTCTCTCCATGTGCAAGAAACCTATTGAAAACCAGAGCAAAAGCAAATCTCGCAAAGTATGATTTAGCTGCTGTATTATTATACTTTCATCTGTATCTTTTGCCTCTGACATTAGTTCCTAATAAAAATATCTCAATGGAAATAAAAATCTAGCTTGACATGACAAAGATTTTTCTTTTATAAGAACTGAATTGTAACACTGTCACTTGCAAACAAATTATTTATAACATAAATTTTTTTGATATTTATTTACCAAAACATCAGTTCTTAAATCAACTAAAAATTTCACACCATGCTGCAATCTTCCTATAATAAAAAATAACCAATGATACGCAGGTGTAAGAACATTCTTCAGAGTTCTCTCATGGACGATCATTTGCCTCTCGTTTTCAGGCTGAAACAAAATTAAAATATTAGTATCTTGCTACTTTGTAATCATGACTATATTTTCTAAGAGATAATGTATAATAAATCTATGTATAACTTTTCACAAAATATTAGTATATAAAAGAAATATATTTAATATATACCAAATACACATTTGATATCAACACATCATATCACAGTTTGAAATAAGATTTAATATATTTTGAATGTAATTTGATCAAGATATCACATACAACTCATACAATAATATACCTCTGTACAAACTAATTTCTTTGCCACTTGGCATATATCGTTATGTTGCACAGCATATTGTAAAGCCAATGTGTGTAAAATTTGTTGGCGATTCTCTTTGTTGCTTTCAGTATATCTGACACATAGTGCACGTACCTTGTTCTGCAAATATTTTTCAATATAAAAACTTCTAATAGAATAAATTACATTTTATACCATAGAATTAGGAATTATAACAACCTCTATAATCCAGTTGCTGATATTGGTGTTTTTAAGTTTAAAAATTTCCTGCAGTTCTTCGTCCACAGACAATGTACTGTTCGTTTTGACATGTAATGGAGTGGATAATCTTATACATTGATGTTTAATATTTCGCTTCAATGTATCAGCAAAATTTACTTTTGTCGTGAGCCCGTAATGTCGGATAATCGGCAGAAACTCGGGGAAAAGCTTTCTCAACATCGTAATCTTTTTTCTATGGAGTTTAGTTTGTTTGCAATTCGATATCCAGCTTTTTGAAACAGCGTCAACTGATCTTCTATAGGGAATATAAACAAAAAATATTTTAAGTTTTAACTAAATCATTCTTCTTATTAAATTATTCTTCTATCGTAATGATACGAAGGGTAATTATAATTTTAAATTAGATTCTAATGAGAAATGAATTAAACTTTAAGGATAGGTACTTTATTTTCAACAGGTGTCACGTGTCACATATCAGCTGCTTCAGTGATCAGCTGTTACCAAACTTTTGCGCTGTCTAGATAAAAGCATAATCATTTATTATCTACTTTAGATAAGATTATTGTCTAGGAAAATGTTGAGATATCAATTGTTTATTATCAAATGTTTTAATCAATTGTTGTATTAACAAATGTTTTAATCAGAAAGAAGCCTGAGAGGGGTCACACCGACATTTTCCATAAGATGTTTTTTCTAGCTGGTAAAGTAGCGTCAATTAGATCCATTTTAGAACATGGCCAGATTCATTTTTCGGCGTCAAATAAAACTGATTGATGCATATGCGTGCTATAGATCCATAATTGTGGATTAAAATTGCGGAGAAATATTATGGATTTATTAAATGTTTTATTAACTGCGCGTGATGTTTTGTCATTCTAGTATACTACAGTGATAATAAATCATAATTGAAGTATTTTTATGTATATATATGTGCATGTAAAATGTGAAATTAATTTTCTTAATAATTTTTTTCCTAATTTTTAAATATAACGTATAGAAGATATTTACAATAAATTGCTTTCACTTTTTTCTTATTCTTGAAAAGTATTAATTTGAAACATTATCAAATCATGCTTTTATAAAAGCAAAAAGCAAATCGCCGGCTCTTTCGCTTCGAAGTGCAAAATTCTTCGCAGAATAATCCATTTCGCTTCGAAGCGAAAATAGCGTCAAGTGGGACGCACCTATATAAATCAGGCAAAATGGCGATTCAGGATTCAGTCAGCGAAGAACTGTCAAGGATTATTGTCAGTGCTTTGATGTATGCCCAAGTAATTTAAAAACAATAGTGAATGTGACACGTTCCAATAACGTACAGAATGCAAACACCGCCTTTTTATTGCCATTTTATTTGGGGTATTTGGTGTTTCTTACAAGGTAATAATGACAAATTAAACGCTATTTGAAGCATGTTGCTTTCTGTTCTATCACGTTGCATTATCACCATTATATTGATATTTTCTTCATTTTTTACATTTTTGCGTCTTTATACGCCCGCAGCGCGTTTCTTGCTTATTGTTACATAGATGTTAATCCTTGTAAGGGTCACACATTTTTTTTGTTCTGTTCCTAGTCGCATTGGTCACATTGTCTTTTAGCTGCATTAAAGTGCTTGAAAAAAATCTACAAAAATGTATATATATTCCTTGACATCTGTAGAAAATAATCATGTACAACAAAAGTTAAAAAATAAATTGTAAACATATTTTTTATTAATTAGGGCCTTCGGGATATTCTATTATTAAAATATTGATAGGTTCAAAATGACTCATATGTGACCTTTTAGAATTAATTGTGATAAACGACATGTATTGCTTCACAGTTTTTGATTATTTTGCAGTTACTGCCACGGACTATATCAAACTGTCACACGATGGACCAACTATTTTGGGTGCTACAATCACTTTCAGAGCAGATTTGTATACAGGGGATAACATGCGACCACATGGGACCTACAAATACAAATGGATGGATAATTCGTTGATGAAACATGAATATGAGGTTGAAAAATTATGATATAATATATCATTTGTCATATTTGTGTAATTAAACTGTTGCTTGAAATTTTAAGTTACTGAGCTGTTTTGTCTAGTCTTTGGTATAGAAGATTGTTAAAATTAGGGACAATATTCATATATGATCGAATTTAAATTTATGGGTATTCTTTTTGGTTATTTATTTATTTATTTATTTAGTTTTGTTTTATCTGTATTTGATATTATATCAATACTTTTTTGTTTTTATTACAAGAGTTATTGTCAATTTTATGTATTATTACCTTATAGGTTGAGACAACAAATACAACAACATTTTGGAAAATAAGCTATCCACGGGAAAGTAACACTCCTGGAAACTACATGGTAGGAATAGAAGTCAGCTCTTTTTCTTGGCCATTCTTTTGGCCATTTGACACAAGCGCTCTTATCAAGTTTGAGATTACTGGTAAATTTGGTTAAAACACTTTTTTTTATTACTTTTTATTCTTAAACACATATCATTATTTATATATATTTACTATTTTAATTTCAGAATATCTTAATGGTAACATAACCATAAAACAAAATAATAAAACCATAGTGGGGGATTATATCTCTTCATTGAACGAAACAAAAATAATGATAGATATACGTAAAGGAGATTACGACTTTATAAAACAGAATGCAACGACGATATCGACGTATTGGTTTATCGATTGCCAGTATTATGGCCAAACAAATGATTTCGTCTTTGCTTATAATTTTACAAATCCTGGCATGACACACGAAATAGGGGCTTTAGTGATTGTTTCGTACAATCCACCAACGACTACAACCGTTTTGCCACCTACGACTGCGCCCACTAATGTAACAACAATCTCACCAAATACTACGGCAAATCCAAATGGAACTCATGTCACAGTTGTAACCACAACTATGTTGCCAACAAATGTCGCGAGTGCAAACTCAACGATGTCTCCAATGGTTGTATCTCCGATCACTATAAGCACAATAGATGCTGCCAATATATCTTGGCCTTACATTTGTTCGAACACTTCTCTCATTCCGCCGGATCCTAACAAAATATATGGATATTTTCACAAGAAGATCTACGTTCGTGGTTAGTAAGATATGCAATTTATAATTTACAGAGAAATTATTTTTGTTTGTAAGCAAATTTATCTGTACAAATAAATGTTGATATAATTTATAATTTTTTTCTTTTTCAATGAATGTCTTTAGTTCCTGTGTCAAACATCTCAGTGGAAGGTACAAACTGGATCCAACCATGGGATATGCTGTCTTTGAATGTAACCTGCAAGGGATCAGGGCCCTTTTCCAAGTGTCTTCAATTCTACCGTGGAAAATACAACGTAACGGGAAACGAGACATGCAACAATGTGGAACATTTGAATTCTTGCAATTTCTCTATTTTTCATTATTTTCTTCAGCCCAGTGTCTACACAATAGTGATCATATTAAACAACGAAATCAGTACACAAATTTATCCATTAACAATAAACATTTACAAAGGTAAATTTTTATAAAAAAATATCTATTAATTATTCTCACGTCTTAATTTGCTGACACAATCCGTGCAATAATATAATGCGTTTTTGCAGTTACAACAAAACCGCAATTGTCGGTTATCGTGGTACCAGTCTCTTGTTCGCTCATTGCCGTAGTGCTGATAGTATTCGGCGTAGCGTATTATATCCAGAGCAGAGCAAGATTTACAATAGAAGTCGCGGACTTCGATTTTGGGCAAAGTAACCCAGAAATGGAATACAAAACGTTTACAGAACGTTTGCGCGATTCATTTAATAACACTGTAAGACCTGGAAGCAAACGGCCAAATACACGCTATTATGGCAGCATGAATCAGTGAAAAGGCTGTTTGAACTTATGTGACTTCTCTATTGCCGTCTAATTTTTCTGTTATTTCCAAATGCAGTATGATCTATTTCTTTCTGCTTTATTTTTTCATTATTTTCTCTCAATTAGTCTTTGCTTATTCCAGATTTAACTTGATCAAATTGCAAAAGTGATTAGAACGGCCATGAAAAGTTCTTTTGATACAGATTTTTTTCACTTCTGTCGAGAAAAATTTATACTGGTTGCAGCCACTAACATATAAAAACTGCTTATTGCAGGGATATGAACCGCTTAACAATCCACAAACACTTCAATGATGTATGCATGAACAAAGAAGCAACTTTCCAAAAAGCCATGTTAATCTGTAACAAACGTTCCTGCGAAGAGTGAGCGGGAACGAGGGATTCATCAGACGAAAAATATTCATCAATAAATTGAACAGTATTGATGGTGAAAAGGTTCGTCGAATTTTGTTGTTGAGATAATAGATTTATAAACGATTTCGCTTAAAAATCATGCGATACCGATTATAAAAAGAAAGAGGAAAACACATTTGCAATTGTTCTTTCAAACAATTTGCAAACGATCAAATCGAAAATTGTATATAGAGATAAGGAAGGAATGTATATATAGGCTGTGAATTTAGTATGCAACAATTATTAGAAAATATTAGAACTGCTTTTAATATGATAAATGGAGAATTTGATATTTTTTTAAAGTTGCAACAAGAATATATGATCAATTTATAATTCTTTTTATGATTTATAATACGCTATTATGTTGATTACTAGTGATTGTACATGTTCCGCATTATAAATAATTCTATACTTTGTTAATTTATATATGTATACACATGTATAGAAATCGCTAATATATGAAGAGGCTTTATCCAAAGGCAGAATTAGATCACACGTATTAAGGAATCTTTTTGTGTATAACGCATTGTATTTAGTATAATTTGCTATCAAGCAGATTTAAAAAATTTTGGTCTAAATAGAGTCGTTGTAGATTAAATTCAAGAAATGATTTTTAGATTTTTGATTAGATTTTTTAGATGAGATTCAAGGTACGAAATAACGCGTCTATGCGAGATGTTAAGCTAGATGAACCATTTAATTCCAAAAACAATTATCACGTGATATTGTGTGGCATAAAAGTATTTATCTATATCTTTAATAAAAGAAAAAGGAAATTTTGACGCGGGAATTTATGATTGTTACTTCCCGCATTAGTCATTCAGTCGACGTTATCCTATCGATATAATAGATTTATCTTATCACATGTAACTTTTATTAAACAATTATTGTAAAATATGAAATTGTAATAATATTTTTTCATTAAAAATAGTTTTAACTATAAAAAATTATATAATTTACAAGAATTTTTATCTATCATTGCAACTGATATGATTATGTTATGAAAGTATAATTAGAAATATTTTTTTAATATGAATTTATGAATGACAGACAGAGATAAAAATTTTATGTTAAATAATTTTTTCTTTCTTTACATTTTTTTACGAACGAAAACTGATTATTGTGAAAAAGAGCGTAAACATATATCTAGTCGCTAAAAGCAACTAGACACATAGAAACGGAAAATTCATTCCTCAACATTGGCTGCGTTCCGTTTCATGCATGATGCGCATGATGCATTACTTATCCTTGTTTAACATTCGGTGAACAAAAATAAGTAATGAATCATGCGCATCATGCATGAAACGGGAAGCCGCTATTGGCAACCCTGATCGGAAAATTCGCATTTTCATCGTACGAGGTCTTCACGATCAATCTAGAGTCGGATAATGTCAAACTTGTCGACGCGAGCCGGGTAAATAAAAGAGCAAGGTACATAGTACAACAGTATTTGTCATGCCGCTTTTTTTCGGCACGATGAGTAACGCACAGTTGCGTAATATTTTCTCACGATAGAAAATCGTGTCTCGTTCTTCTATCGTTGCGAAACATCGTTACTTCATCGCAATATCAGCACTATGGCATGGCTTGGTACAATCGCGAACAATGTATTGCGAAATATCGTCTTCTCGGATGTGCCGCCGAGTGTCATTCAGGAAGTTCGACCGGAACAGTACACTAATCGACGTATACATTCCCGCGAGGATGGCATCGTTCTCTACGGGCCTGGCGAAATTAAAAATCAAGATAAATACGAGATTGTATTACACAGACCCTGCACGGAGACTTTACACCAGGCGTACAGGTGCATTTTATCATCGTCATTATTTCATTAGCGTAAAATATATAAATGACTTATTTTAATCGATATTATTTCATTAGCGTAAAATATATAAATGACCCATTTTAATCGATAAATACTTATATTTCGGAAATTATGTATTGAGTTGAAAAACGTCCTTTTATAGAGGGTTGAAAGATTTGGTGGAGGATGTTAGAATGTATGGGAGAAAGTATGCTAAATAGAATTATCAAGGAAATTTGAAGGTTAAATGCATTTTTTAAAATGGAATAACTACTTTGTTATAAAATTTGATAGAGAATTGAATGCTAAAAAAAATATTAAGATACTTATATCCTGAAACTAATAATTTTTTAACTACGACTTTTTATTCATGTCATATTACTTGTTTTGTAATAGACTGCTAATAAAATTGACACAAAGAGATAAAACAAACCAAAAAACAGATTGTTATTGACATTTTATTGCATGAATATTATTTCATAATCTATTGTAGTCATGTTAATACTTCATTATTGAAAACACATTGCTGGTCAATTTATTACCTTTACACCAATGTTATAAGAACTAGCGAAATTAGGGTTGCCATAATAAAATTTTCAAAACTAGAACTTATAGCTCAGAAACCCCGGACATTTCGCTTGCAACCCCGGACGTATACAAAAATGCGAATAGGTTAGCAAGTTGCTTATAACTTATAACAATAAATTAATAATTTTTTTAGATCTCATTAGTACTTAGAGTAAAAGGAATAAATTTAACATGTTTTTAATTTAAAAGAAGTTTTATTATTAGATTCACGCATAAAAATAAAAAAACAAATGGTTGATAACTTCAATTGTATTGAAGTGATTGAATATGATGTGGTTAATTAAATCTAAAAAGCAGAATATTTATGAATATTCTTGAACCCCAGACATTCATAATTACCCCGGACACATTCGAAAAATCCCCTCGGACGTCCCCGGATGCCCTAAAAAAGAGGACGGTGTCCGGGGAAAAGAGGACGTATGGCAACCCTAAGCGAAATGGATATTTGTAGAGAGAAATAATAGATATAAAAAAGTAGTCATTCCATTTAAAAAGGTGCACTTGACTTTCAAATTTCCTTGATGTGTTTCTACTTAGCAAACTTCTTTTCACATATATTCCAAAGTCCCTCTCAAATTTGTCAATTTTCCAAAAGGACGTTTTTCAAATCAACATAGTTTCAAGCAAAAAATAGTTATCAAAAAATAAGTATTTATAAATTAAAATAGGTGTTATCTTATATAATTACATCATAAAAAAAGTAAAAGTTATATGATTTTATATATATAATTATAATTATAATAATATATGACATCTGTGTCTGAATTTGTCTACTGATGATATCTCTGCATTTTTCAACATGTATGGTTAGTTTTCTGTTATATTATTTTTTTATTGACTTTATTAATTATCTGAGTCTTGATTATATTTTTAATATTGTTTTATATGGTTTTGTGTGTTTTTAGTTTGTTCCGATCAGAAACTTTGGAAGGAGCAGAAGCACGATTCTTAATATACAAAGACAAAGTCCCTGTACTCGTGCAGATAGTACGTGAGGTAGTGTTTCTTTTTGATCTTAAAGACATTTGTAAAAATAAATCTGTAAGTATACCTTAAACAGAAACAAATTTCGCGTTTTCATATCTCTACTGTTTCTTTTACACACATAAATTAGATTATATTTAGTAGTTATTATTATATTGATTTACCATCTCTCCTTTAAGATGTGCAATGTTGGGAAAATTCAAAAGCTCTGTGATACTTTGGTGGAACATCCGACTTGGACTCTGGCGCATCTAGCGGCCTACTTCGCGCTTCACGATGCTTTCATGCATGCCATTGTTAATAGTCAGCTCAACAGCGGTGATTTGGAGACTGGAATTTCACCTTTGCAGGTTGCCGTGCAAACCAATAATTTGCGCACTGTCGAGATGCTAATAACGGCAAAGAGTTCGCTAGAGCATCTAGACCACAATGCGAATACGGTTTATCATTATGCTGCTACATCCACCAAGGAGATCATTCTCGCTCTGGGTTCGGGTCTTCCAAACAGTCTAAACAGCCGTAACAGTAACGGTCATACTCCCATCCATGTCGCGTGTCAAAATGATAAGCCTGAATGTGTTAAAGCGCTTTTGTTAATCGGCGCCGACGTTAATATGCCTGCCACTGAAGGTCAGCCTTCCAGTCCCGGCTATGTCGGCGATTTTTTACACAACAAGCCAAACGTGCTTCACGCAGAGGACATGAAGTTTGGCGGCACGCCATTACATTGGTCGCGCAGCCGGGAAGTGATCACGGCGTTGATCGAAACCAACTGTGACATCGATGCGCTTAACTTTGAAGGGCGCACTGCGTTGCACGTGATGGTGATGCGCAAGCGATTGCCTTGCGTGGTCGCCTTGTTGAGCCATATGGCGTCCGTTAACATTGTCGACAACGATGGCAACACACCGCTACATCTCGCCGTCGAGGCGGAGACTCCGGCTATTGTACAGACGCTCATTGGCTTTGGCGCTGATATCGACGCGCGGAACTGGAAGTCGGAAACACCCAGGCACAAGGCAAACGTCGATACTACCGAGGGCAACAAGATAATCTATCTGCTGCATGCGGTCGGCGCGGAGAGATGCCCGCCGGAGATGACGGACTGCCATCTTGGTTGCAAATACGGCGAAAACTATACCGGCATCGCACCATCGGAACCGCCGCACTATGTGCCGCGCACAATTCTCGATCAGATGCTTCATGTATCGAGCATGGAGAAGATGGCCGAGCACGGACGCGATAAACGAATCAAGGGCGGCAGACTGCTCTGTCTCGACGGCGGCGGTATTCGTGGACTGGTGCTCATACAGACGCTGCTGGAAATCGAATCAGTGCTGCACAAACCGGTAATACATTGCTTTGACTGGATCGCTGGCACTTCCACTGGCGGTATCCTAGCTCTCGGCCTCGCCGCGGGCAAGTCCTTACGGGAATGCCAGGCACTTTATTTCCGTATCAAGGAAGATGCCTTTGTAGGCTCGCGACCCTACAACAGCGAAGGTCTCGAGAGGGTGCTGAAAGAGTGCCTCGGTACGTATACAGTTATGGCAGACATTGAGAAACCAAAGATAATGATCACGGGCGTGCTAGCCGACCGGAAGCCCGTGGATCTTCATTTGTTCCGTAATTACGAGTCGCCCAGTGCCCTGTTGAAAGTGCCAGAGAATATGATGTTTAAGTCGACGTTGTCGCCGCGGCAACAACTTCTTTGGAAGGCGGCGAGGGCGACCGGCGCGGCACCATCATATTTTCGAGCGTTTGGCCGATTCCTTGACGGCGGTTTGATTGCCAATAATCCCACCTTGGACGCCATGACGGAGATTCATGAATACAATCTGGCACTGAAGGCCATCGATCGCGGGAAAGAAGCGAAACCGCTGTCGTTGGTGGTCTCCATTGGCACAGGACTCATGCCGACTACTGTTGCGCTGAACGAGATCGATGTTTTTCGACCTGAGAGTCTCTGGGATACCGCCAAACTTGCGTTCGGTATCTCAGCGCTGGGCACGCTACTGGTCGATCAAGCCACGGCTAGCGACGGCCGCGTAGTCGATCGCGCTCGTACTTGGTGCTCTATGATCGGCATACCGTACTACAGATTCAATCCGCAATTGACGACGGATGTCGCCATGGACGAGAAGAGCGACGAGATACTAGCGCATATGATTTGGACCGCAAAGGCGTTTATGCACGCGAATCGAGATCAAGTGAAGGAACTGGCAGCTATCATTGATCGCGATACTAATTTGGACAATGATTAAAAAGTGCACCATCGCGCCGCGCCATGGAAAAGTACCTGGTTGCAGAAGTATGTTGCATATATCTGATATTAATATATTTCGATGACTTGCCGCTGGTTCGGTTAATAATTAGATAATTAGCCTAGCAACTGTCTCATCACGTAGCAAGTGTATTAGAGACATTACCTCACTGCTAGTTACCGCCGATTTCTCAACGAGTATAATATTAATTATTTATTTGCATTTTTTCCGTGTGTTTAGACCAATCAAAATTAAATTTTTTTTTTTTTTTTTAGCAATTTGGAATGTCAAAACGATATATACAATTTAATATATATACACCATTTTATATATGTATAATTTAGAAATCTGCTTGTAAATTCTGTGTTTAAATCTTTTCCTTTTCTTTTTTTTATTTTATATATTGCAGATAGTCTCGAAGAATATAAATGTGTTACATATTGTGTCGCAAAACAAAAAGATAATAGATCTGATTTATTTGCATTGTCACAGAGTTTACAAAGAAGAATAAATAAAAAAAGAGATTACAAAGCAATCGGATATATATCTCATTTCATAGAATAAGTTTATCAATTTCGTCTTATTAAGTACAACACACTCGCTATCGTTTAAATATTTTACAGAATTTTTGTTACGCACACAATATTCGATTGATTTAAATCTCTGAAGATCGATAATGAACGATCGTCTACATTCGAAGTTTATCAAATGGTAAGACAATATTCACATGCGTTATATATCAATATTCAAATGATACATAATTCTCATCGTGATTCATAGATCGAGGGATGAAGCGAACCTGGTTACATTGTTTCCGCAGAAACATTGTCCCAATTGATCTCTATGTACGTTCGTAAATTATATTAGTAACTTTCTGTTCGGTGCTAATAATTATTTAATATTAATATACGTCGCGCGCGAAGAGAAAGTTTAATTTTTCGGCTGTAAGAATAGTCTTACATCTCATCACTTTCAATAGGCTCGCGATCTATCGCGGTCCCATGTAGTACGGCGGTTGCGTCATGGATGCCGCCGATATATAGGGATAAAAAGAGGGATGCGACGACACGCTCTGCGGCTGATAATCGTTTTCCTCGCCGTGGACGGTGTACCCCTCCGCGGTGGGATAATATTGTCCGTGCACACAGGCGTAAGGCGCCTTAACGGCGGCGGCGGCGCTGCTCATCTCCGCGGGATACTTCAGGCTGTCCGGATATCCTTTGGTCTCCGGATATTTGGGCAGGTCGTAAGACTTGGTTTGCAAGTCCGGGTATTTGGTGGTAACCGCTGGCTCGTGATGGTGGTGGTATTTGGTACCGGTCATCTCGTGATGGTACTTGGCGACCTCGTGACACTTTACCTCGGCGTAGCTCCTCGACGTCGTCTCGTACGATGACTTGCCGAGATGATCGGCAGCGGGATACTTTGCGACCGTCTCGTTGACCCAGACCGGTCTGGCCAAGTCGTAGGCACTGGACTTGGTCGGGTCGTGATAAGTCGCCGGTCGCTCGTACGTCTTCACGCCAGCATCCGGATACAGACGGGTATAGGTGCAATCCGAGGAACCGGCTGAGGAATCGAGGGTGGTTCCGGGCGACGCAAGCCCACCTCGATGCATGATGATACCCATCTGATCGTCCGACTTTGGCTTCCTTCGTCGCGGCTGATACTACGAATAGTAATACACTCTTTGAATTTAAATCTTATGTCATGTTAAAATTTCTAACTCTTCACTGCAACTATATTGGATTAAAAAGTAAAAAATCAAATAAATTTCTTTTCTCGCGTTAGAAACTTTTCTCTCCTGGGTTATAAAGAATCCGATGTGATTACAGCGAAGAATCATCTGGGAGGGATAAATAAACGAACATAAAAGTTGGCAATAGATTAGATAAAACTAGGAAAAGATGCTTAGGGGAAATATTCGTAGGCGTTAATTACGAAAATTAAGTATATCGCTCGAGGATTAAGCGCTGTATTGTATCGTAATGATATCGTAAATAGAATATCGCAATAAGAGCGGATAACTTAAACAAGCACAATTGCTCTTTAACAAAACCGGTGAAAGCTCTGCTTTTTTTTTCTATGATTTGCATCTCATCTAACGCGTCTCATCGCCGCCGCTCGTCTTTCTCACTCGCATAGAGCGGCGACACGGATGGCTTCATCGGAGAATCCATTTCCTCTTCTCATAAATTATCGCTAGGGCGGCGCGGCGGGATTTAAATCGCGCTCCGGCCATCGAGCCTCGATTAACCACTCGAGCGCTTTGAAACGAATGCGTATTGCACGCGCTAATTCGTTTCGCTATCCAGCGCGAATCAAGATCGATCTTGCGTAATTTTTTAACGCGAGTGAAACGCATGTTAATATTTCTCATATTTTTAATGATGCGCTATTATTTCGCCGTCCTCGTTTTCATATAAACACGTGCTCACTCGCCATTATCTCAATGCTAATTAATTAATTAATTAATTAATTGATTGATTGATTAGCTACCTTGTAGTGTGGATGTTGCTTCTTATGCGCGTTTCGCAGTCTCTCAGCTTCTTCGATAAACGGTTGCTTCTCGCCGTCGCTTAAAATCCTGCGGCAGACAAATCGTAATTTTCGACATCGCGTTGCTGATGGAAAAATATTTAAAAGGTATTTAAAAAAATATTTAAAAGTATTTAAACGATATTGAACGCGACGTTAACGAGGCGATTTTATATGAAGATTAGTTATTGATATCGTTTTTGGGATATTTCATTAACGTTTAGAATACCGATAGTTTTTCTTTTATACAGAATATTTTTTTTGCATCGTTATTGTAATATTATCTTAATATTATCTGATATAATTGCTACGCGCAAAACACAACTAATTTTTTCGAAATGAAAAAAACGACAATTATTTAGTGCTTTGAAAATTCAATGACTTTTGTTTGTATAAATCAAATCTTTAATCTCGATCGAAAAAAAATACTCGACATTTGTTTACATATCTATACAGAGTCTTTCAGATCAGGTCAATGAAACTTTAGGGTCTTATAGGAAATTGAATTTAGAATAAAAAGTTCCGATAAACCAGAAATCCAGAAACGCTTCGTTAAAAAATTATAAGTAATAAACTTTGAAAAATCACGTTTTTTTTTTATGACTTTTAAAAATAACTTCAAAACCCTTCATCCATTTGAAAAAAATAACAAAATAAATTTGATGGGTAATTAAATAACAAACTAAATTACACCAATTTCATTTAATTCTGATAAGGCGTTCAAAAGAAAATAAGCTTAAAACAATGAAAAAAACAAACTTTCAAAAAACCTTTCGATAGTCTTAATGCTTAAACATTACATTCGTAGTGCAAACATTACAAATGCAAACATAAAAATGTTCTTATTAAAATTTGATTATAACTAATTACTTACAGAGAGTTTATTAGCTATAACTTTTTAACGAAGCATTTCCGGACCTATGTTTATCGGAACTTTTTTGTTTCAAATTTAATTTCCTAGAAGACCCTGAAGTTTCATTGACCTGACCTGGAACACCCTATATATTAATTTAGTCGAAGCTAGATTACCTCCACAATTTTCCCAGCGTCTTCGATAACTCAGCGTTGTGCAATTGCGGATACTGGTCGGCAAGTCTTCGCCTTGCTGCCTGCGCCCACACCATAAAAGCGTTCATGGGACGTTTCACGTGAGCGCTTCTTCGTCCGCCGGCGCGCGAAGTCACCGGAAGTAGCGTCCAATCGTATCCTGCAAATATAAATGATAGGATTCATGATATTTATACGAAAATCTCGAGAAAAGTACTAAGGCATGTATATGAACACGCATGCCAAAGAAAAAAAGAAATTTTATTCTATCTAATCTGATAAATCAAAAAATTCATTTATATAACTCGTGAAACTTAAAGTTTTAATTTTAGTTTTCTCAATGAAAAAACCGATATCTCCTTTTCGAGCGATAATTATAATATCAATCATTAATCTGTGAGTATTCGAAGAAAATTGAGAAAGAAATCATATGTTAATTTTTCAAATGTTGAATATCTTTTTCAATCAGAATTGAATATTGATTGTTTGTACAAAAAAAAGTCATTTTTAACTTTCAAAATATTGAATAATTTTCATTACGATACAATTATAATTTTCGTATCATATTTTACATTAAAAACATTTAATAAAATCTTAGAATATATTTGGCACGATATACATATATGTGTCAGTAGACATGATAATATTGAAATTTATTACAAAGTAATTACATTTTTTATGATCATATAAATCCGAAATATTAAGTCACGTAAGTACCTCGAATTACCGAAAATTCCGCACCGCTTAATAAGGATTCGGCTCCGGATGTTTTCCTACATTTCACTTCGTGGGAAAAGAGCCCTATGAGCAAGCCGCGGTCGTAAAACCTTGTCTCCCTTTGAACAAATGTATACCGACTTATGTAAATCTGTCCTGCGCACTCTCACCGCGATCTCCTAAATCTTTATTCCTTGGCCCGAGAGTGGTTCGGGAGGAAAATTTGAAGAAATGAGGAAGATATAGAAATGTGCAGATGCGTAACTAGGGAGACTTGGAAAATTAATAGCATTCCATATGTGCAAGATTGTAACAAAACTTACCGACGGTATAAACCCACCCCTCGATTTAGATAGTACCCTATTCTTACAGTGGCATGTGTTTTATTTTTACGACAAAAGACCACCTAGGATAGTCAAAATAGCCAGAAAGAGAATACACGTCTTGTATATTCGCATTTAAAATTTTTGTTATTTTATATAAATTATTCAAAATCTTTGTAATTGCAAAAAAAAAAAATCTGTCATAGAAACCGAGGGATAAAAATTTTTGTTATTTTATATAAATTATTCAAAATCTTTGTAATTGCAAAAAAAACATCTGTCATAGAAACCGAGGGATGAATGCGCGTACATTTATTCTCATCATAAATCTTAAATCTCAATCTATATCAATGTCAAAGTGTATTTGACTTACACATAGTCGAGTTAAGGCGCTTAAAAAGATATGTTCGTGTTTCTAATTGCCATTGATCGTCAGAGGGCAAGGGAGAATAGAGAAGGGAGGAGGAGAGGGATATGGGCGAGACCTCGGGAGGGACGATGCACGTGACGAAGCGTCAAGCCGGAGTTCGGAAAGCTGGTGGGAGCTAATTACCGTGGGTCCATGGTCCACTGGCGCGGCACTTGTGTCGGCGTCTTTAAGCGTCCGAGGGAGGTCCTTCGTCGACGCCTGCGCCGATAGTCGCGATGTCGAAATATAATTTTACACGGAAACGCGGAAGGGCTTTGCGGAGAACGCGACAGGAATAGAGGAAATTTCGCGCGAATCGGGCGAAACACGACCCTCCGTGGTCAATTAGGCATGCAAAGAGCATCGGACCCTCTCCTAGAGAGCAGTCTGTATGGTCGGCCGCTCTTTGGGGCTCAATGGTACACCGACAATGTAGACGATTTAATTACAAAAGCCATACGTAGAACGACTGGAAAAAGTATTTTCTGTGCATACTTTTTTTAGAATAATTATTTATACGAGAAAAAAAATTTTAAATAGAACACAGAGAGAGAAATAGAAAATTATAATACAATATTATGTGTAAAATGAACTGGAGATTAGCAGATAATGAAGATTTATCTTTGAACAACATTGATGTATCTGTTATCATATAATTCAATTTCCGAACATAATTATATCCGGCGATTAAATAATGAATTCAGTTAAATTGTAGTTTGTCAAATCGCGCTTAGTCTTAGTTTTTCGCTCTTTTATCTGTTTTGATTTGATTAATTACGAGCATAACGACCCGATGGATCGGTGAATTGGTGGCGCACGCGAATGACCGAGAACTCGCGCGTTTTTCCAGGATTGTGAATGGCTTTTGAGTGGAGATCAGGGCCGTAGTTAGCGCATCCGTGCCGGGCTACAATAGGCGGGTTGTGTGGCCTGGTGAATGAACCGGTGTGCTTGGGCATGCCGGCCGTCAATGGCGACCTGTCGAGACTCTTGCTACATTAACTCCTTTACAAATCCGCCTGTTACAAATCCCCCGGCCTTTAACGAGGCCCTCTTTAACGCTTCGACACCTTGTCCCGTCGATGTTTGACATTACGTAGCCCGTCGCCACGTGCTCGACGATTCTCCGACAAATCGCACCGTCCGGTCTCGGGGAAGATACACGGCGAGAATTTATCTTTCTTCGAGCAATACACGATATTTAATACAGATCGGCAAAACAAATGCGTTCGCGGAATTAAATAAAAGACGAGATAATATTAAAATTTAGAGATTAAATATATAAGACAATTAGACTTTAAAAATAAATTTTATACAAAAAATTGCACAAAATAAGAAAATGATATATCTATGTTTATTCATATATGATATATTCATTTAAGATCGGATAAATATACCAAGAGCCACCTGTATTTTCATCGCGCTGATATTTTGTAATGAAATGCGTATCGCTTAGCGCCGTTGGAGCAAATATTTACTCGGCGTAGGCGCAGGCTTGTCTCTCTTCTTGAGCGATAAACCATTTGGATTATACATTCTTGCGGCCGGCCTACGAGCATCTCGCGCGTGCCTTCGGTTTTTCAACCTTGATCATCAATGAATTCAAGTGTCCATCACTATGCTGTCGCCCCTGGCGTAGTATTGCATCGCGTAATCTTTTTTCGAGTTTGATTTTAAAATAGAAACAAGTCCTGCGACTTGTAATATACGATATTTTTTGAGTGTGGTTCGATTGTCGCCAGAACATATATAAGATGTATATATCCAAATAACAGAAATTTATTTACTAAAATTATATGCAAAAAGAGAACATATCTAAATAAATTTATGAAAATCATAAAGAAGAATATTTAACGAGGGAGATACTAATAGTCTAGATGCATCTTGCATCTCTAGATTTCGCTAGAATATCCAGCTAAACTCGAAGAGAGTGATATATCCGCGACTCTTCCTTGTAATCCGCTGCATCGACTAGACCTCATTAATCCTTGTAATTATTCGCGTCGCAATTGTCTAATATTTAAACGCGGGGATAAAATTAGTTCGGCAGAGATATCATCCCTCCGACGATTTCCACCTGTCTATCTGCTGGTCCCCGACAACGATGTACGTGTCTCTGGCGAAACTTCGTCGTCGCGAAGACTAAGTCTCGACGCGCTTCATAAATCACGTCTTGCGGTCCGCACGTATCGCCCCCTCCCTCCTCCACCCACCTCTCCTTTTCTTCCGCTCAGCACGCGGCGATCTTTCAGATTTAATTCGGTACTAGCATAATTAGTGGCGGTGGCAGGCGCGTTCGCCTCGTCTCGCTCTGTTCGCAGCACCTGCCGTGCTCTCGAATTTTCCTCGGAGGAATCATCGTCTCTCTTCGCGAGGCGATCTCCTCAGCTATATTTCTCCGGCTCGTCCGACTCCGTCGCCGTCTTTCTCTCCCTTCGAGTTCTACCCCTTTCTACTACTCCTGCGAATATCGTCCGGATAAATCTGCGAGCGACCAAATGGAGAAAAGAGCGATGTGGCCGACGACGCGAGCTTTCAGCGCCAATTACCAGTATATGCCTTCCCCCCTCCCCATCTTTCCCTCTTAAACGACTCGATAAAGACGGCAACGGGCGAAAAAGAACGAACGGCGAATGGACGCGCGCGTCTCGCGTGCTATTTCGGGAAATTGATATTTTTCGCCGGCCACAATTTCGATTTAAATGTCTCGTCGACGCGGTAAATCGCGTTCGAGATGGAAGTTATTTTGTAAATCATTCGTTTTAATAATTCTTTTAACGTTTTTAACGAATTCTCTCTTCTTTTCTTTCCTCGGGATGAGATAAAATAATCTCTTGTAAAAGCTAATAATAATATTAATAACAAAATCATAATAATAAATCAAAGCTGACTTAATTACATAAACAAATCTTAAAAATATGCATTAATTTTCTATCATTTTTAAAGCTCATCATAATGTTTATTTTTATCTTTTACTATAATTTTTTTTTTTATAATTGATTAAAATAGCCGCTCTCTGAAATAAGAAAACGTATAATTATATGAACTTGCTTTCCCTAATTTTTAAATACGGTGCTTATTTCGTACTACAGTATTTATCTTGATCTTTGTTCACCGTAATTTTTTTAAAGAGTATTTTACACTATATGATTATACGTTTTAATATTGCATTACAAAATGCAAAAGTTATATATGCATACCTTGCAATAGTTTGCCCACAGCATCGTCCAAAGAATTATTGCCGCCGTGTTCGTTGCTCGACGAGCTGGCTTTACTTTCCATCGAAGATAAATCGTTATTATTGTGGTGGATATCCATTTTTATTCTTGTTAAATCCACGATGCAAAACACTTTCTTCACTGACGATCGATATTCACACAATCACTAAAGACTATAGATGTCAAAGATTCGCGAACTCTCAAAAAGTGCTTTCGACATATAAATGTCGAAAATGTCACTCAAATAATGTCACATAATCGATGATAAATTGAATAGCAAATTTTGTCGGGAGATAAAACGCATCTCGTGGATTTTTTTGTCGCAGATGAGCGAGATTCTCGGTAAGAGATTTCCGTCGCAGGAAGAGAGAGGTTCGATAATTAATCGAGGGTTATCAGGGCGCGATTTATCGGGTCGGATAGGTCGCCGAATCTTCTTTATGGCTACTTAGCCGACCCTGTGTCGACCTTATACGCATCGGATCTTTTTTTATCTCGATATTAAACCGATTCCTACGAACTCGTAGATCACCCAGAGATTCACTTCGTTATCGGCTCCGGGAAATATTAGACAGAAATCGATGATGATGTGTTGAGAGAAGAGGTTCGCTCTTCAAAACCCTTCGGACTCTATAATCCCTCCATTTGTCTCTCATCGAACGATCCGTTCTCGAGTATATTACCGATTTTATTTCTTCTCGTATATACGAGATGTCTCGAGGGTCAAATTGTATGGCACGTTATTTCGGGGTGCCAAATGGAACGAAAAAAGATTCGTCCTGATCGACCTCGAGATCATCGAGTCATGTCATAGTTAAATCCACGACGTCTCCTCTGCCGGAGGAATATCCTAGTTATCGTTTTTCTCCTCTCTCTCTCTCTCTCTCTCTCTTTCGTTATCGATTATGGAAAACGAAAAATGTAAACTTTGTGATGCTGTATGTGTCGTTCTTCATACGATACTAATCGCGTCATCGATAGATACGGAGATCGAGAGACGTAACGGCACGGGCAGCGGTACTGGCGAATCAGGTAAACTCCGATGGCCGACTGATCGACCGAGAGGAGAGACGAGACGATGGACCCGATGGACTCAGGGAGGCGAAGAAACCGTCCGCACGGTTCAACCGCACAGGTTGGTCCGTACGGGTGGAAGAGGACGAGGCGAGATGAGACGAAACGCACGTCTGGCACACGCACCAAAACCATCAGGCGGATGGCAGACCGTCCGCGGAGGCGGTTCCGTGGACCACCTACCTCTGGTGGGGAGACACGTAGGATCTTCCTCCTTTCTCTTCTTCATTCTCTTTAGTCTTCTCTCTTTCTCTTCGTCGTCATCGTTTCCTCGCGCTCGTGTCAAAGTCGATTGCTGTACGTCCTGTATCCGCACGCGATTCTGTCTCTTGCATCCTTACGTTAGAGCGATCGAATTCCTAATGTTTCTTCCGTGGAAAATTACGAAATTACGCAATCTGAGATTTTAGTAAGAAGTCGGAAGTGAATGTTTTTCCATTTTTTTTATTTTATTAGGAAATAAAAACAAAAATTGTGCCGATTTGATAATATACTAAAAAAAAGACCGAATCTTTTTTTAAAATATGACAGAGATTTTTTGATTAGTTTAAAGTTGATTTTTTCCTTAGCAGGTAATATTAAAGCATTAATATTTTTAAAATTATGAGTGATTAAGGAGAAAAAAAGAGAGACAGAAAAGAGAGAGGAGCGTTTCGCGAAATAAATTTCAAGTAAATAATGAAACTACATTTTCTTTAAATAATTTCAGATAAAGTTTATTTATTTATGGAATTTTAATTTGAGGAAGGTTTAAAGTCATAAAGTTTATCGAAAAAAAAAATATAAAGCTGTTTATAAAAATATTTCTTGAATTTGCATATTAATTAGTGTAGTAGTGTAGGATCTACAGATCCACACAGATAACATACATCCGGCTTTTATGATACTCATTTCGCGAGTTATTCGCGACGAAGCATCGACTAATTATCGTCCGTTTGTTGTCGCGCACATGTGCCTTGTACGTGAAAGGTCGCTGGCAAGTGGACCTAGTCCTGAGTTTATTGATCGCGTCTGCGAATAAATGATTAATGACAAAGATCAGCGAAAGATACCCACGCACGCATCGAACGTGACTAAAAGTATTAGATAGTGCGGCTGATATAATCTTTAAGTTACACCTCTATTTAGATTTTTAGATGTACGCTCTTATATAGCGAACATTGTGTTTCTGCTGAGACAAAGGGCGATTTTGAATTTCGTTAAAGTATTTATTCCTGTAACATTTTTCAGCATATCTAGAACGTAAATTCGAAAATAATATTCGCCTCGCGCATGTCTCGCATCGAAACGCTCGCTGTCGCGCGATCGGAATGCGAAAAAAAAAAAAAAAAA